TAGGAGTTTGGTTATGTCATATCTAAGATCCCTTATAGCTCTGAAATCCTACAATTTTATCACCACCCCCGTAGCTCAGTGCAAACAAATTCATGCATCTGTGTTAATAACTTTGAGGTACCCATTCCAAAATGTTTACATTTTCAATGGCTGAATTATAAGGGCTCTCCAAAGCGAAGTTAAAAAATCCTAACTGATATTTTTGGCATGGTAGCAGGCTAATGGAGGAGTTTTTGAGTAGAGCAAATTTCATTGAGGAGATTAGTCTTACCTACTAGTGCATTTGCTGTCTACAATTCATCTCTTTTCATTCTCCCCTTTACCCACTTCAAGTAGGCTGTTACTTCCAAACATCCAATGAAACTACTGCCATCAAGGTCACCAAGTGACTTTGAGAGTTAAACCCAGTAGTCAATTGTTATTCCTCATTATATGTGTCCTGTCTTCAGCATTTGACATATTTGATCACCTCCTCCTTAATATACTTTCTTCATTTACCATCTGTGACTCACACACTTCTCTACCTACTGATCACTCCTCAGTTTGCTTTGCTAGTTCTTCCTCTTCACTGCTTCCTCTTCACTTAGTGTTGGTGTGCCTCAAGTACTGAGTTTTGGGTCGTATTCTCTATCTGAACGTAATTCCTTATTAATCTTACCCAACTCTTTGGCTTTAAACTCCATCTATGTGCCAAATACTCTCACATTTATGTCTCTAGCCAAGACACTTTCCTGAACTCAAGACTTGCACATCCAGATGACTAGCAGACCCCTAAAAAAAGGACTCATGACATTATTGCCCAAACCTAATCCAACTAGTTCAGCTGATAGAAGCTCCATATTTTCAGATATTTTACCAAAAAAGAAACATTTGGGCACATCCTTGGCCCCTTTATTTCTCTCATATCCTACATCTAATCCATTAGGACATTGGCTCTAGGTTAAAAATATATCAGAATTTAATCACTTCTCAAATCTAATGCCACCCTCCTGCTATGCACCATTACTGTCTCTCCCCTGGAGAGCTGTAATAGCTTTCTAAGAGGTCTCTCTGTTTCTTCCATCCTTGCTCCCTTAGAATTTGTAATCAACACGGAAGTCAGAGTGGTCTTTTAAAGACACTAACTCAAATCCTCTGATGGACCACCAGTCTTCACAATAGCCCATGAGGTCTTACATCATCTGGCCCTCCATACTCTTCTGATTTCATCTCTTACTCTCCACTTTGCTCCCTCCGCTCCAGTCACACAGGCCTCCTTACCTCAAATATGAGAGGCATGGCTTTGGTGCTAGCTCTCTTTCTGCCTGCATATATTTGCATGACTAACTCTCTCACCTTCTTCAAGTTTTTGCTCAGTTCTCATCTTTCCAATGAATCCTATCCTGATCATCCTATTTAATCTGCAAACTGCCCCCCAAGCATTCCTCATCCCTGTGAGCCTGATTTACCCTTTTGTCCTACAGCAGTTATCACCTTCCAATGTTGTACATAACTTACCTGTTAAATTTATTGTTTATTTTCTGTCTCCTCATGCTAGAATGTAAGCCACAGGAGGGCAGGAATCTTTTTTCCTTTGTTTGTTCATTGATGTCTTTCAAGTACCTGGGAACTATCCCAGGCACCTTGTAAGTGCTTAATATTTCTTAAATGGATTAATAAATCAAAAAGCAAATGGATGAATGGGGCATGGTCCTGTAGGTATCAGACTATCACCAACAACATGAGAAGCTACATATGAAATGTGTAAAGCCTCACTTTAATTATCTAATCAATGCCCAATCGTGCTGCTGCTTTTTGATCGTTCCTGATGGAGAGATGGTCTTTGGAGTTCATGTCTCTCCATTGTGGAAACCCTTGACCTTTCACCCATCAGAATCTCAAAACAAGGCATACCTTGGGTTGGAAAGATATAAAGAGCTCTAGACCCATCCTGGGTGATTTACAGTAAAGCCTATAAAATAATTACCTCACACTTCTACTATAAGACATGTAAATGAGAAGAGTAGTATCTAACAGTTATTGAGCTCTATATGCCAGACATTATCCTGAGGTTTCACAAGTATAAATTCATTTCTTCCTTGCAACAACACCTAACTCCTGACCTCACACCTCTAGCCTAATTATTGGGTGAGTTCCTTCTGGACAACACTCAGAAAGTAACAAAAAAGTGTAATGGGTCAGAAGGGATGACTTGAAACTAAGGAAGTAAACCATAGCCCTTAACATTTCTAAAGAAAAATGTTATCTCTGTCAAACACAGCTGCCATATCTCCATGAAGCCATGTTGAGGAAATATTTATGTTGACACACTGAAGGTCAAATATTCAAGGGTAATTAGATCTCTCCAAGGTGAATTATGGAGATGACCTAGTTAGAAATAAATATAGAATTTTTGCTGTCCAGTCATAAATCGGTAGTAGCCCGCCCAATGCACTTAAACATGTTTATAAGTATTTTTGCTCATAGTTTAATTAATTATTTTATATATTTCCTATTACTAATCTTTTACAAAAATGATTAGCATGACAAAAAATTTTACTAGCTTGACCATACCCATCTCAGTATCATTTCAAAGAGCTTTTTATTATCCTACTTTCCCATCTCCATAAACCCAAGAAAGAACTCTTATTTTAACTAACATTCTTGCAGTCACCCTCTACCTGCTAATTATGTTCATCTTCTGGAAGTTGAAGACCTTCATTTCCCCAGTTAGCTTCATCAGTTCACCCAGCATACATTTATTAAATGCCTATTGAATTGCAGGCATAGTCCTAACCACAAAGAAGCATAACCCACAGTCTCTCAATCAGAGAACTTAGTGTCTAATAGTAAAGGGGAAACCAATACAGTGAAAAAAGTTTCATATACAAACCTGAATGTCCATAAAAAGAGGACTAGATAAATAAGACATTTATGTTCATGAAATGGAATACTACACAGCACTTAAAATGAATTTAAATGAATAAATTAGATTTAAATGTATTAATATTACTCTTTTAAAAATTGAGTAAAAAACAAGTTTTCAAAATGCAAATGCAGAAATTACACGGTTCTCTTACAAAATGTCATTTTGTATCACAAATATGAGAATATATAACAAAAAATAAAAAACATAGACTTGAAGGTTAGGCACCAAATTCAAATTAGTTGTTGCCACAGGGAAGGCAGGAGGCAAGTGGAATTGAAAAGTGTATAAAGTAGACTTCAACTTGATCAGTAGGGAGCTAATTCTTTACATAAAGAAAAATACTTAAGGCCAGTATTTTTTAAATGGTAAATTGTGTCATTTGGGGATAGTAGTTTACACAGTGCTTTCCTATAACTTTTTTTCCAAATGTCTTACAAATGTATAAATGAGAGAGAGAGAGAGAGCTCACACTCAAAATACTACTCACAGTAGAAAGAAGTCCCAAAGGCTACAGGGATTGGGTCAGTTAGGTTGGCAGGTGCCACATGAGCAGCGCAGTAAGAAGGGCTGAGAAGTCACACTGGGGAGAGACTAGAAGCTGGGAGCGCTCCTGGAAGCCTCCCTAAGAATGCTAGAGTTGAGCCAAGCATGAAGGATGACTAAAAGCTGCACAGACTGAGATGAGCAAAGAAGGTATTCCAAGAAGGAGAAACAGCCAATACAGGAAAGAATATGGAGCATTTTGCAGAGATGGAGCCTCAAGACACAGTCGAGAGTCTGCATTTTAATTTTGCTATTTACTAGCCTGGTGACTGTGGGAGGGTCACCTGATCTCTCTGAAATTGTTTCTCCAACTTGAACGTGGGGTAATACTATATTCTTGGCTGCATTGTTGCACAGGCTAGAGAAAATGTAAACAAAGATGCCGAACAAAGAGTAACACAGTAATTGCTCAGAAATTAAGATAATGATTAAGGATTATTAGCTGGGACTAAGACTCAGGTCTCCTGATTTCCTGAGTTAATGATCTTTTCATAACAGCACACTGCTGATTTTGTAATTAGCATTATTCTAATTTCATGTGGCCAAAAGTTTCACAATAATATACAAAGGGACCTCAGTGGAGTACTGGGCAATTCACTGAATCTGATATGAAAAATACCTCTCTTTTCTCACCTGCTCAACAGCTCCAGACTCTGTCATTTACTCAAGACTGTTAGTTGTTCTCTGAGGCCTAACATATCTGATTATTTGATATGTCCTATCTATGACCTTGAAACAATCAAAGCTGAAACTTTTGGTAAATTGGCTTTCCAGTTATTGAGCCAGCTGCTGGCTGAAATTTGGAATACCAAATTTGTCTCACCCAGGAAGTTAAAATAGGAGTGTTACATGTTGAATTAACTGGCTTTCATTTGCTTAACAGAAAACATAAGTATGCACAACTTTAGTCACATTGCTGTTATTGATCAAGCATTCGCAGAGCTCCTCAATAGACTGTAACATACTTTTCATGTTATTCAATTTGTTATGAAAATAAGTTTAAATAGTTTTAAAACAAAAAGGGGGAAAAGAAACTTCTGAGACTGAAAATGCCATGTTGTGTGAATAGTACATACTATTCTGAAAGTCCTTACGACTCTTTGGTGAGATCCAATTATCAGTAAAGGAAGGCTACATCCACATGATTCTCAAACATGACACTTCCTCCAAAGCAGACTGATGGTCCCTTGCCACTCTACTGAGCCAGCTGCAGCATGTTCTAAGCCCAATTTGGGCAATTAAGTTATTTTTCTCAATGAGGTTTTAGCAACCATTATCACTATCCCAGAAAGTGGTCCTTTCTTAGAGATAAATTGCAATGGAAAACTATGCTTCTCTCTCAGCACGTATTTCCAAATTTCACTGCTCTGCATGGAGGAAACGAAGCATATGTTGCTTCTCAACATCACTCACTTTAAATAACTGAGAAAGATGGGGTTGTTTCAGCCACAGGAGCAATTGACATGTACCATCCAGAAATCTTTTGTCTGACAGCCTCAGCTAAATACACCACAAATTTGCATTGATAACACTTTGTTTTTGTGCTCCATACCTCTGCCACTACTACCACCCCCACCGCCACCAACCCTTCCAGATGATTTCAGGGCTCTTTCATCTTCCATCCCTCTTCCATACATTTTCCTTCTCCCAAAGAACAAAGAAACAACTCGGTGATTTTTATCAAGGTTAATAAATAATAGGTACTAAAGGTACAAATTTTATCACATTGTTTTTGGTTTGCAGTAGGGTTGTCAAAGAAGGAATTTGAAATGAACTAAGACAACATGTCAGCTCTTCAGGAAAAACATGCACAAAACCGCAGCCAGTGTTGGTTCTAGTAGTTGGCATTCAGATCTACAGTCTAGGCAAGGGATCCAGATAGAAGATAGGCCAGGATTCAGCAATTCTCCTAACACGATGTCCTTCCAAAGCACACTAGAGGACAAAGAGGGGTGGTAAATTGCCTTCCTCTAACTGTTCTAAAGAGAGAGATAACCCATCCCTGAGATTATTGGTCTAGTGTCTTCTATGGTTATACAACCTCCCAACAATTACAGGTAAGAAATAAATGAAGATAGGAAAAGCCTCAATTTTCTTTTCATTTTCTACTTTTGAAAAATTCTAAAATTAAAGGAATCTTTTTTCTTTAAGAGAAGTAGAGACCAATAGGCACAGTACCTCTAATGATGCTTTGAAGGTAACATTTTGGTGTTCATCCCCAAAGACAGGCTGGTGTAGAAATCTATGGGACTTCGATTAGCCATCACAGTCTTTCATTTTATTTTTTGATTAACTTTTTCATGCATAGCTGAAAAACACTAAACAGAATGAAAGGCAAGTGACTGTAATTAGACTAGATTGCCCAAGGCCAGAGAAAAAGAGAGGCAAATCCTGTAATTCAGCTCCTAAGTAACATCCTCCACATGATAGAGTTGCATCATACATTTTTAAATCAGGCTTTTAAAGTTTTGCATGCATACATTGAAATGAAAAAGTGTTTCTGTTGGGAAAATATAATTTGCATCAAGGTTTTCATTGTCTCTTAAATATACCTTTCCTCCAAATTTTAAAATGTATAGTACATAGAGATATGTTGAGGCAGGAAGGAAAGGAAAAATATGAAAAGTTGAAAAAGGATAATAAAAGTTACATCTGTGAATGTAGTTTTTCAAAAACACTATTCATTAGTATACAGATTAAAATATAAAACGGACTAAGTCCTATTCTCTGGGTTGGCAAATAAAAAACTAAATGTTATATGTTTATTATGTGGAAGACTAAGTGTTATATGTACATTATGTGGGTTACATACCCATATTAAAAACACCTGATTTAAACAAAATATGCTTTAATTTTGCAAAGGTTTTCATGTTATCTTTATGGTCAAGACATAAAAATGTAGACTAAATGGTAGAATAACTGAACGAATGTTCACTATCACTATGCCAAGGCAGTGATAGCAGATCAGTGTCATCCTGGAATAAGGTTTCTCATGGGTGACACAGCTCTCGACATTTATACTATCTGCATATGTAAAATAATAAGCTTAGATAATTAGTAACAAGTACACAAAGGGACAGGAATATCTGAGATGGCAAAATGACTGTATTAAGATTGCTGAAGGACACAAGAGGCTAGAAGTATAGGACAAAACTAACAAAATATAATTTAGTGAGGATAAAAGTATAGATCTACACTGGGATCAAATGCACAGGCACAAAATTAGAAAATGATAGATAACCAGAGCTAGGGTCCTTATGAAAAAAAGGCCCAAACATAAAATTAGAGAATACCTATGCTTTGAATCAGCTTAACTCCCTTGTCTCCCTCTGTTTTCCCATCTGAAAACTGGCCATAACACTATCTGCCTCTCAGGGCTGCCAGGCAGTTTAAATGAAATAACCTGTGAGATAGTCTTACAGCAGTGCATGTGCACAGAGGTATTCTGAGCCCACACACTGTGTCACATCCAGTCAAGCATTATAATGCCTCCACTTGCTCTGTGCTGATCAAGTCAATGGAATAAAACTAAAATCAGATCTAGGGGCCTCATTTTTAGAATAACAGAGAAAAGTCAGAAAACATCTATTGAGCATCCACTTACTTGTCTAACATCAGGCTCTGGGGATACTCAGGTGAAGCCATGGTCTCTGCTCTCAAAGAGTTCTCAATCCAGAATCAAATGATGGGATACTTCATCTAGAAAAAGGTGGCCAGTGTGTTGATGGCTCAGTAAGCAAAGTCCATGAGAAATAGTTGTCTGAATATTCTTACATCACCCATTGCATCTAACCTAATATTTGCTCTTTGAAGCTACTCAGTAAACACTTTTTGAATGAATGATTTCAGTTTCACCTGGAAATGAGAAAAGTTAGAAAAAAAATGGGAAAGTTTTCTTTAATTTTTTGAAATTCTAACTTAAAAGAGAATATATGTATGTTTGCAGCTCCAGAAAGCAGAACTGAAGCAAAGGGTTCAGAGGACAGGGAGGCAAATGGATCCTGCTCTTTTATGTTTGTTACTATGTTAACGAAACTGATTATATTATAAAACTAACATTTATTTATGGTTCTTAATGGCCATATCATTGTTGCTTTGCCTCCAGGCCTATTGACTAGAATCAAGGTAAAAAGAACACTCCTGAGTTTTCAATCCAGGTTGCATATAGAAGCAAAACCAAAGACTTAACACAAAAGGGAAGTAAAACTGTGAAAAGTCCATTTCCAAAATTAACAAATAGAGAAAGCCTGAAAACCACACACCCCAGGGCTCCATTACATCTTCAAGTAAAACCAGGATCTAACTTTTGGCTCAGAAGTTTCCATCCCAGGCCACTTCAGCCACACAATATTTCAATTCTATTATTTAAGGAATGGTTTGAAATATCCCCCAATTCAGCTTAACACCTCCCATAGCACATTTCTGCAGAACATAAGCACACTGCCAAATAGCCAGCCCTGCCGCAAACACAGGTAGAGTAGCTGGGCCAACAGGAGAGGTTACATTTGTTTGGCAACTTCCTCCAGGCTATTAGAACTGAGACTGCAAGAAGCTAAAATGAGAAGTGCCTCGCCACTTTTACAGTAAACTAAACAGAATAATAGCAAAGAGCATGACTCAGGTCCCAGTACCAAAAGCAAAGCAGGAGCAGTGATGTGCCCACGCCCTGGATGTTCCAGCCCCTCAGCAGGTCACACGCTGAAATGCTTTCTGAGGTCCATGGCTATAACTTGAACCCGTGACCCTCTGAATGAACGCCAGTACCCAGACCAGCATGTCACAAACAGCTACTTCAATCCACCTCCCCAGCCTACATTTAATTAAGTGAACATGATGAAAAATAAATGAGGTTGTACTTAAGTCTTCAAAGGCCTCCTAACCTTACCTTTCCAGGGGATTTTTGGCTAGTTGACTCTACTCTCCTGCTACCTCCATTTGCCACAAGTTTTATATTACATTTAGGCTCAAATCTGCTCAGGCTATAATCCACAATCCATCTTTCATTTAACTTCTAAATGTTAAGAGAAATGGAAACCTCATCAGTAAACATTGTGACAGTTATCTTTTTAACTGTCATTTATATAAACTTAGGCACATCCCATTCTAAATCACACTCAGATGAATCAGTTGTTCAAATATAAACATATTTAGCAGAATTCTGTCATTTCCTCATATGTATATTCATTTGCGAATGACTCACTTCATACATCTTCATAAACCTGCGAAACTATCTTTTGAGTTATTCACAGATTCAGGTGATGATGCTGGCAGAGTCAAAAGCTGACAATGTATGCAGGGCCAGCACTGGGAAAAAAGTAGCCAAAAGTCATAGCTCTGGGATCATTTTAATCTGTCTTTGGGTACAAGAAATGTCACAGAGGTTCACCTGAAATGAAATTATCCCTTTCTCTTAGTTTGTTTCGTACCACCTAATCCTCTAACTCTTTATTAAACATTATCTTTCCCATCTGCTCTAGTGAATGTTCAACACCTTGTGGACCAACTCCAGGCTGATTGGTTTTTATGGGCAGCATGAGCTCAGTTTTATGCACATACTTAGGATTATCTCAAGGACAAAGAGGATGAACAATCCATTAACTGTAATAAGCAACTGCACATCTCAAGGTAGCTACAGCATATATTTGATTTCAAAAGAAAAGACTGAATTAAAATATGTCTGTCCAGAAATGTCTAACCTCCAACACACAGAAACAGCATTTTCTGTTCTCCATGCTCTGGTAAGTGGTGCTACTAGAAATCACATCTCAGTCCCCTTCCATCAGACTTTCCAGCTCTTAAATCTTATTTTAAGATCTGACACTACAGCAAGAAAAAGATCCTTTTGAAACTACTCTTCCTGATTATCTCTGGGCAAAGCGTGTAGAGCATGTGTGGACACACAACACTCTTTTTTTTTTTTAAAGGAAAATGCATTGTTATTGCTTTGTGTAGAAGACTTAAATTCTTCACTTTAGAATTACATGTGTACCCATTGCTTTAATTTGCAAAATATAAATCATGGAAATTTAGCCAAATACACAGTGTTATCTGAGAAAGCCAATCTACATTGCTAGCCTGTGTTAATTACAGACATTAGAACCACATTACTATTATTTATTTCAATATTTAATTCAATCTAAAGTAATCCACTAAGACCTCATTTCCCTACTTCCCAATTTAAATGTGAACATTATTGAAAAAGTCTTTGCTTACTTCTTTTCATTAGAATTCCTTATAAATGCTCATCTTCTTGCATCTGTTTTATTGATGAGCTCAGTTTGATTTTGTGGCTAAACTTTCAAACAAAGGTACCTTGCTTTTGCTGTTACTATAAAGTTTTGTGATCCTGTAGTAACAACAATTATGATGACATCTGATCACACTGTATACCTCAATGACCAGACATATCTGACCACGTATCTTCACAGTTTACTGATCTCATTGATGAGCAATGTCAGGCTTCCTTCTTGCAACTTGTATCTGAAGATAATTAAAAGCTAGCTTTTTTTTTTTAGCAGTTTGAAGTTTGTTTTTCAGTGAATTGGTAATATCGCATACTGCACAAAGAGAGAATGTACCAGTCACCTGCTCAGCTTTACGACACAGAAAGTGTGAAAAACAGGTACAGGAGTTTACGTACTCAGAGTGACAGCTTTCGAGCTCTTGCATGTGCTTCTTTATTCATTACTTTTTCTAAGGAAAGAATGCTAAAATGCAGAGCTGAGTGTCATCTTCTAATTTCAGTTTAGACCCTTACTTAATATAGGTCAAAGTCAAAGTAAAACCAAAGTGAAGAACTAGACAGGGCATTGAACTGGGCACAAGCTATCTTGAAGAATGCACAAGCCAGGGGTGGTGGCCTCTGGGGATAGAAGAGGAGGAGTAGAAGTGAGAAGGAGAACTACTTTTCACTGGGTTCTCTTTTGTTCCAGTTGAACATTTTACTTGATACCCACATTACTTTAATAACAAGAACAACAATGATAACAACTTAGAGATAACTAAATCGTATTTTCCCCCTCCCAGTGCTGTAATAACCCACACTCATCCCAAAGGTCTGCCCTGGTGAAATGATGCAGTAGCAAAGGTTGTGTTCCAGAGTCCCAGACCCTCACTCTTTGCTCCTGCTGTCTCATGGGGATCCCTCTTCACCCCTGTCCTCTCAACCTCAGCCAGTGTCCTCAGGTTTCATCCTATTGGAGCAATTTTCCAAGAAACTATCTGATCTACTGAACATAAATAAATAACAACAGTTTTGCTTTTATACATACACATCAAAAAACAGTGTCAGATTGAAACAGTCCCTTCGAAACCTCATTGTGAGAACACTGAAAACAAATTCACCTGTATTAAATAATCAGTTGGAGAAGATGATTATGCGTGTTTTCTATTCAGGGGAAGAGGAGTATCTAGGCAGGGAAGTGAAGGACAGCTGAGATCATGGACACAAGGGTTAGCAAGTTTATGGGATCCTGTGCTAGACACCAGCCCACTAGGTACCAGGTTGGGAGTGACCCAACACATCTCTGGATGGAAGGCTGAGAGAACAATATCCTGGCCCCCAGCCCCTCCTGACATTGCTGGTGTCTGCTCGAACCCTAAGCACAATGATACACATAAAACACTGACACTAGATATCTTCAAAGAAATGGTACAGCCATTTCATCAAGCAGGACCCTGGACTAGTGAAAATGTGCTCTGCAAGGTTTTTTGAATGCTTTCCATGAGGTTGCTCTAAGCTTAGACTGATGTTGCTACTTCTCTGCGTTCTCAATGCCCCATTTTTGATACCGCTGTGAACGCAAATTATCTTCTTCTATTCACATATACATGCATTAGAACACAGTAAGACAAAAGATTGCCTACTTTGAGAATTAAATTTTTCACCTTTAGGTGGTTAGTAAGGCCAAACTCATTAATCTTCTCCTATTTGCTGCTGTATTCTGCAGTATAATTACATGGCACCAACCAGTGAAATTGCTGGTGAAAGGCCTGTGTTATCACTCCAGGGCTATTCTGCGTGCCCATGTCATTCTGTAAAAAGGTGGCATCAGAATACTGGCTCCCATTACTAAACAATTCTAGTAAGCATCTACTTTAAGACATCTGCTTTTGTGTCCATCTGGGAAATTATTACATTAACATTAAGCATCATGCTGTTTTGCAAAATGTGAACATACTTAATACCACTGAACTATATACTTAAAAATAGTTAAGATCATAAATTTCATATTATGTATTTTTACCACAATAAAATTTTTTTAAAGATTAAGTATCACTGATTTTCCCCCAAGTTAGAAACATGTTTATTGCTTTTGCTAGATTTAGAGTAATAAATATCTGCTTTATGAAATCTAACACCAGAAAACAGTACAAAGCTATAAATGAAAGGCCTTTTCATAATCTTCCCTGACCAGGATATTCACTCTTAGCTGTTTTCTATATACTTTTGAAGATACCTGTTCTCTACAACCTTAATGAGAGCTTATAGCATGCTGCATCAGACTGTTTTTGTTTCAAGTGACAAAATCTAACTCAAACTAGCTTGAAAATGAAATATCTCACATAACTAACTCCAGGTACACATCTAGCTAACTTCAGGTATAGGTTGATCCAGACTCAGATGATATCACCAGGATTTGGTTTCTATCCATCTCTCACCTGGGCCATTCTCAGACTCCACGTGGTAACCTCCAGCAGCTCCAGGCTCACAGCCCTTTGAATTACATTCCAACAACAAAAGGCAGAGAATCTCTTCCTGCTAATTCTTAAACAAGTCTTATGATTTGTATAGACCAAACATGGTTCAGACCAATCAACATGACCAGGAAAATGAAATATTCTGATTGGCCAGG